GCAGAGAAGGACGGGTACAAGAAGTGAGTGTGAGGAATGATGGAGAAAGAAAGTGTGGGGTGGTCAGTTGCATGAGAGCACAGTGGCGGCAGAAAAGGGAAGTTGGGGAAGTGGGCTGGAGGGATATACTAGGCTTGCATTCAGTGAATAAGGGAGGAGGTAAGAGGGGGAGGAAGTTGCTGGACGTTTGGCAGGTGGGTTGGCGTGCAGAGGAGGAGGAGGAGGGAAGAGAGAGGTGAGATGCATCAGCCTTGCCCCACCTGCCTGTTAAGACTTCTCCAAATCTATCTCTGCTGAAATCAGGATCAGCCTAAGTGATCAGTTTTGCTTGGGTTGGATCCAAGATTTGTCCAGAATACTTACATGCTATTCTATTGTTCTTGACTTGTGAGGGAGAGAAAAGGCCTTTTCACACAATGACCATTGCTTTGAATTGGCCATTTGAGCCACTGCAGGGATCAAGAAATAGGTGCAATAGAATGATGTATATGTAAGTATGAATGGTGTGTGTATTTGTGTTTTGTATATATGTGCATATACATAAATTTATATGTGCACATACACACAAACACATGTATATAAAAAATTAGATAGCTGACAACATCTAGGACACTTGACTAATTTCCAAAGAAAAATATCAGTATTAGCACTTGGATAGGATGTCATCAGATACTCCCAGGACTGTAGGCTAGACTGGAATTTATTTATTTTTTTTAAAGGTAAAAAATCACTTCTGTATTGTTACCAAAAAAAGTATATGGACTTGTCCCCACAGTCACCAAGAGTGAAACTTGAGTTTGTTTTTATCTTAAAATTTATATCCTGCTTTTCTAGTACGTATGTATAGGTCATATATATTACATAAAGGTACTGCCAACTGTGGATCCACATGTTTACACAGATTTTTAAGTTCTGTAGCTATTATTTGCTTTCCTTTTTTTAAGCTTATGTCCAAATATTTGTTTTTGTCTTGGAAAATTATAAGTACCCGTTTTCCTTAAGCCTTTAGAAATATAAGGCTGGGAGGTTTGATAATTATTTTCTTCTTTTAACAGAAAGAGAATGTTAATTCTACTGCCCTCATAAACCTCTTTTTTCCAAGCACAGGGGATTTCAGAGCAGCTGGCAGAAAGAATATTTCTGGGTATTTGAACATCTCTCTTGTTTTGACACCTCTTCTGGAGGTTAATGAGTGAACAGTTTGATCTTCCTTGACATTTTGACTTTTTCCTCTGAAGGCAGCCTGTTGTAGCTGTCTCGTCCTGAGCAGGTGAACCAGAATGATTCAGTTACAGTTTGGCAAGATGTAAGAAGAACAAGTGCTAGAGAGATGAGTTGGTCCCAATGCATATAAAATGCTGGTTTGTTTGGCTTTAGAAAGCAACCCCTTTCTGTCATTGGGGCAGAGTTAGTGAGATGTCAGATGTCACTGTATGGCAGATGGAGTTTGGAGACAGAGCCTCAGTTAAGGGTCTCTGAGGATCTAGCAGTTCGCCACCTGGATTTTGCACGGGCATCTAGCATTTAGCATAACAGTGGAATATAGATTACTGATTAGTGTCATGACTCAGAGACAAAGGTGCTCACCAGGCTTGGATCTTCTCTCTGCCTTGAAGTAACTTTGTGGCTTTATTTCTCTCAGCCATACTGCCTTTGTAAGACCAAAATAAATACATTATTCTACCTTACAGAATTAATTGCCGTAGTTGCTGAGGCAGTGGCTACCCTCAGGCAATATATATGTGCCAAGTATTATTTGAAGAAGGTCTGCCACTGAAATAGATGTTGGGATGCCAGAGATGAGAACTCTTTTCCGTTTAGATGGAAAATAGTTTTTAAGAGATCAGTTCCTATGTATTGAGGCTTGGAGATGCAGTGCAACTTGCGCATCAAACATTGGAGGACATCTAGCATCTCAGTAGTTTTGCTTTGTTGATCAGCCAAAATTTTTGGTCCCATGCCTGTGTCTCAGTTTGAACATTGCTGGGGCAGGGTGGTTGGGTATTCCTTTGCTTCGCATCTTTAAAACAAAGGTTTGTAGTGATGCTTCTGTTGGTGGGTTAGAATTAATTTCTGAGGCTTTGTCTTTCTCTGTTCTATGGGTTGGGCTCAGATTGGGTTTGGTTCATTTTCTCTTCTTAATTTGAAAGAAAGTAATAAGTGCCCCCCCCCCCCCCCGTTATGAGCAAAAGTATGCTGGCTTTTCTTAGTATGTCTGGCAAGACCGCAATGTTTTTTTCTCCCTCTCCTGTTTTTAAGCTCATTAATGCAGTTTTCTAGGTTCCTATCCAAGCAGCTCCATACTAATTCCATGGGACATCTCTCTAGAATTCAGTTAGGTGCTTCCACAGTCTGCAAACTACGATAACACAATGACCATGTTCCAACATATTAACTTCAACAGCCTCACAATTCAATTAATCTTATCTTTATAACTCCCAATTACAGGCAGTAATTAAGTAAAAATAGCATAGTAATCCAAAGAATGGCATTAATCATTGACTGCCTCATAACAGTGAATGCACCCTTTCCCAAATCTTTCAACACATTCCCAGAAGGAATAGGATAGCTCATTTCTGTTAATCCCTCAGAAGAAGTGTTTGGATCTGGACTAATTTATTCATTATTTTTATTTCTTTTATGTTAGTGATAAATAGCTTTAAAAAAAATTAAAATTCAAGGCAAACAAAACTTAGTTTAAAGGTGCATTGTTGTAGCTTCAGTCAGAAGGGTTTTTGGTCATCTAAATAGACTCTTACTTACTTTATAAGATCAGCTATTACTTTTTTTTTTCCCAAATTACATTTCTGTTTGAAGATACCAGTTTAAATTAGTTTAAATGTAAAGTCCCAGCACTCCTTTTCTGTCCATATTTTCTTTCTGGATCTCCCACTTACCATTAGAGCATGAGTTTGCTGATCACTTCAGAGGCAAAACATCACTTTAATCTATAGAAAATTAGGGGTGTGATATCTTTTTTTTTTTTTAATTTTCAAGCTGCTTTGTAGCTGTCAATGAAAGAGGCTTCTCTTATGAGAAACAGGAGCTTGATAAGGGAAACTCTGTCTCTAGATTTGTGTACAGGTAGTCCTTGCTTAACAACCATTCGTGATCAGAATTTGGGTGCTTGGCAGCCCGCCCACATTTACAACCACAGCTTGCACTTCAACTCCCCCCACCTGCCTGTCTCCCCCCCATCTCTGCCTTTTTGGCCAGGCACACCTCGTCAGCAGTGGGAGGAAGAAGATGGTGAAGGTCAGCTGGGGGTGACGGGGCAGAGTGCAAGGTGGCCAAAAGCAGAGATGGGGGGAGATAGGTGGGTGGGGGGAGTTGAAGCGGAGGCAAGCACAGCAGGGCAGGAGAAGTGTGAGGTCTGGCCTAAGAACCACAATCGGGAGCACCAGAACTGTGTTTGCTAAGCGGTGTGGTCATGTGATATTTCGCATAACGACCGCTTCACTTAGCGATGGAAATTCCAGTCCCAATTAGAGTCATTAAGTGAGTACTACCTGTATGTTTATGAAAGAATATGCAGAACTCATGCCCATTCAGTTATGTATTTATTAGACTGATATTCTGCCTTTTCTCCAGGTACTTAAAACAGCATATGTAGGGTTCCCTTTTCCAGTTTTTCTCTACAACAGCAACCATATTAAATATGTTGGGGTAAGAGATGATGATTGGCCAGATGAGACTGGACCAAAGTCACCCAAGGAGCTTCTGTAGCTGAGGGTGAACATGAACCTTAATTGGCACACCACGCTGGCTATTGATGGTAGCCACTAGGGATGATGTCTTTTTGTTGGGACTCCTAAGTGCTCATGTTGCTCAAGGAAGACTTATGTGAGGAAGACATCCTCTGCTCAATGAACCTTCAGTTCTTCCTGATACATTATCTTGTTCCTTTCCAACCTGAGGATATAGTCCTTCCACTATGCTCTATGTACAACTCTCAAGTTGTAAGTTCATTTGAGGATCACAATGTAGGTGATTCTTTTTATGAGGTAGACCTTACTGCCAATAGTTCTTGCCATTTTTCATAAGGCTTCTGGTAGATGTAGTCCCTTTTCTGAGCTAACCTTTCTCTTTTCCCAGAAAGGAGAGCTATAACCATTGTTGGAGTAGTTCACAGTAATGTAACTTGTGCAGTTACTTGGCTTGTTGATTTGGATTCTTTTCATTTTCTAGATGTTAAGAACATGGACAGTTGTCTTGAGGCATCAATACCTCTTGCTGATTTTGTATCCCTGATTGGATAGGAGACTGAGGCAGCAAATTTTCTCTAGTCCTATCCATTAACTGATTAAAATTATCTCTAGTCTAGTCCATCAGATTTGTACTAGATTATCCTGATGCATATATAATTGCCTGCAGATTCTGATGATAGCTATTTGGAGAGAAAGAATCAGTACTGTGATAGTGTCTACAATGGCAGTGATTACCATACATAGTTTTCCAAATGTTAGTGGACTGTATTCTCATCACTCATTATGCAGGCCATGCTTTCTGAGGATGATGGGCCCAGAGATTATAAACACATTTCAGGGCCTACTTCTGTGGTTCTTCCCTTCGTCTGGGACTCACAAGAAGAAGAAATAGAGGGTAGACTACGAGTGCACAAAATGATCCATCATGGACTTTCTTCACCCTGAAATGGGCTTTCCTGAGCTGATACTTTCTGTGACAGAATGTTTTCCATGCTCTTTTAGCAGTTCAGCAACTTTCATACTCCCTTCCCTTATTCTGTTCCTTGTTTGGGAAACTCAAGCTTCAAAAGAGAGGTTCATCTTCCATGATCCTGTTGTGTTTAGATAACTGCAGGACCGCCTGCTTGATACAATATATGAAGAAGAGAGGAGGTGTTTTGATGAGGAAAAATCCTGGCTAGTGGGTTGTGAAGGGCAAAGAACAGGCTTCTACAAACAGATTCCTAATGAATCAATTTGGGAGTAGAGGTTCTAGACTTAATTTTGCTGATGAGCTTTTGTTTCCCTTGCCAGGTATGCTATACCTCCAGAACATGGCAAGCGGCTGGAAAGACTGGCAAAAGGTAAGATTGTTACATACATTAAGGGGCTGACCATGCAGCTGCTCAAGGACTAATTTTGGATAAATGAATCAATAACGTTATACCAATTCTGACGCTACACAATCTGGCAGTATGTTCTTTGTGACAGCTTCTGCACGAAGTGCATCCATAGTTGTACGCTGGGACTGGGGTTTCTATCCTAAGCTTTTTAGTTTAAAGCAATGTGTTAACCATGCCAACAGTAAACAAACCACAGTTAAACTATGGCTTTATGCACAGTGGGTATGTTCACTGGGAGCAGCCCTGAATTTCTGCTTGTGAAGAATTTACTTATATGTGAAATGCTTATGTCAAAAAGAGAGCACTCTGTCCGTCTTAGATTCTAGACACTTTGTGTTAGTGCCCCCTTGCCTTAACTGTTGATATTGTGAGTAGCTGTTATATTACACCTGACTTCTGTATTCTTAAGAATAATCAAGAGAAAGTGAACACCAAGGAGAAATAGTAGAAGACTCACTTAAAATGGCTTATACTGTACTTTTACAATATGAACCTCAACAGAAGCTTCTTGTTTATATAATCAGGGCCAGGACTATTTACAGCAATAAACATTAAGGCTGTCACTTTGGCTTGTGCCTGAACAGAACTGGTATTAGATACGGTTTCTTATGGTTGCCTCGGCCAGTTTGAAGGGCATGGAAAGACGGTGCCAAGTTGGTATGCTTGCTTAGAACTGGTGTCATTGGTTGGAGGATTCTAGTGTGTCATGGATGGTTAGAGGCTTAGAGGTTTGGACTGGATGGTGGTGGAGGCTCTTGGGGTCATTTCCCGACCAGACTGAGCGGGATTGATTTTTTACCTCGCCTGTGTAGTTTATATTTCTTGCTGGGCTGTTTGGTGGCTTGGAACAGGACTGTGTGGCACCCAAGGCCCATTCCCTTACCTGGATCACAGTTTGGAGAGCCGGCCTTGGGTGATTGGAGTCGCTGGTAGTGGCGGCTGAATTGTTGGACTGCCGGGTATGCGGGTAATTGGCTTCACATGGGAAGTGTTCCAGGCGTTTTGCAACAATCGGTGATGTGGCGGTGGGAAGGAGGCCAGCACTGACGATGGAGGAAGCCCCTGTCAGCCTGCGGAAGGGACTGTGCTGTGGAGTGAGGAGTACAGTACTGCCAGAGCATGGAGGAGGGCTACCTTTTTTTCCATCGTGACCACGTGGAGGTGAGGGATTTGCTGTGGCAGAGGCAGGGCTGGATCAGGCTGGTTGCGGCTGACAGGGCCCTGCGGCTGCAGCTCCTTCCCCCATGCGGTCGGGTAGTCATCTTGCCTTCCTGCGGGCCAGGAGTGGGAAGGCATTGATAACAGCTGCCAATGAACTGTTCAATCAGTAGTCATCATGACCCAATAGGACTTGATTGAAAGAATTAATTTGGAGCTGGACTAGTCGGCAAGTTGGAAAGTTTTAGGTGATGGTTTTGTGATTTTGCCCACCTTCCCATGGGTGAGAGCCGGGGGAGGGGGTTTCTGGAATCATCAGGATTGTGCAATCGGGTGCCTAAGCAGTCTGGTGAGAGGGGACTGACTGGTGGCATGGTATGGTTGGTAGATGGGGGATGAGTTGAGGTGGGTCTCTGATTAGCTGGAGGCACTGAGTGCTTTGCAGAAGCACCTTGGGTATTAGAGAGCCCCTTATTGATTGTAATTTATGTGAGTGAGGTGGAGGATGTGGGAATGGGCCACAGGTATATTGTTCCTGTGGCATGTTTCCAGCCCCTCAAACTCACTCCCAGCCCCAGATGGCAGGCTTTCAAGGCCCTGGGCTGTTGGCTGCTGCTACTGAATGCCACGTCAGTCTGCAACAAGGCCACTCTAATTCATGACTTGATTGTCCATGAAAAGGCTGACCTGGCATTTATTACCAAGACCTGGCTGGGCAGGAGGGGGGGTTCCTCTCTCTGAAATATGCTCAGCTGGGTTCTAGGTGTAGCACCAGCCAAGACCCCAGGGTAGGCGTGGTGGTGGTCATCTGAGATACTTGGGAGGCATCCAGGAGCACTGCTCCTCAGATTGCCAGGTGCGAGACCCTATTTATTAAGTTGGACATTAAGAGGGATCCATTGGGACTGCTGCTGCTGTACCAGCCTCCCTCCTCTGTAGCAACCTCCCTGTCTGAGTTTCTTGACTCCATGGCTGGGTTGGCAGTGAAATTCCCCAGGTTTATGGTCTTGGGGGACTTCAACTTGCCATCTCTGGGCACGGGTTCTGAGATAACTCGGGAGTTCATGACCGTCAGACAGCCATGGGTCTGTCCCAAGTCATCCAGAGCCTGACGCATAATAGTGGTCATACACCTGATCTGGTCTTTCTGTCGGAGCAGCAGCAGGGTGTTCTGAAATTGGGGGAGGTACTGGTTTCTCCCCTATCATGGTCAGATCACTCCCTGGTGAACCTCCAATTCTCTGGTGCCACCCGCCTCTACAGGGAGGCAGGGCCTGTTAGATCGGCCCGCTCCAGGTGACTAATAGACCCAATTGGGTTTCAGAGGGAGCTTTGGGTTGTTCCAGGAATTCTACTACACAGTCTGACCAAAGCCTTGGTGGCCGCACGGAATGGCAGAGCAGTCACGGCTTTGGACTGGATCACACCTAAGTGGCCTCTCCATGTCCATGGCTGCCATAACTCTGTGGTTTATGAAAGTGTTGAGAGAACTAAAGAGGGCTAAGAGATGCCTAGAGTCCTGCTGGTGGAAGACCAGGACCGAAGACAAGCTAGAGCCGCTATTAGAGCCTACCTCATGCCAGTAAGGGTGGCAGAATGTGATTATTCCTCTGTCTTATTGCGTCTGCAGATAGTCACCCAGCAGCCCTATTTCAGGTGACCCAGTCCCTCCTCGGAGGGAGCAATACTGGGACTCACCTACAGGGTTGTTGTAATCTGACAGCTTGGGGTGAGGTATCATCAATATGCTGATGATACCCAACTTTATATCTCCACTCTGGGCTGCCTGAGGGATCCCATAGATATCCTGTCCCAGTGTCTGGAGGCTGTAGGAGTCTGGATGGGGTGCAATGGACTTCGACTCAACCCAAGCAAGACTGAGTGGTTTGGGTATTTGGGCCTTCTGGTGCAAGCTTTTCCCATCCTTGGTCTTGGATGGGGTGGCACTGCTTCAGATGGACTCGGTGCACAATCTGGGGGTCCCCTTGGACTCACAGCTCCTGCTCAAAGAACTGATGGCAGCCGTGGCTAGGAGGGCCTTTGCTTACAGTCACTCATGCTCTTGTGATGTCTCATCTGAATTACTGCAACGTGCTCTACATGGGGCTGCCCTTGAAGAGCATTCAGAAACTTCAACTGGTGCAGAATGTGGCTGCACAGGTTGTAAATGGTGTCAGATATTCGACACATATAATGCCACTGCTGCGTGAGCTGTATTGGCTGCCAGTGTGTTTCCAGGTGCAATTCAAGGTGCTGGTTGTCACCTTTAAAGCCCTTCATGGCTCGGGACTGGGTTACCTAAGGGGCTGTCTTCTCCCAGTCATTTCTGCCCATCCAATTCGGTCCAGCAGGTTGGGCATGTTACAGGTCCTGTCTGCCAAGGAATGTCATCTACATACCAGATCCATAGTTTTGATTGTATGCGTGGAAGTTTCTAGGTGTTACATTACAATCTCGGCTATGAGCCCTGGGAGTAGTGATCCCATGGGTGTACCTCTGATTTGTTCGTATATTTGTCCATCAAACTGAAAATAGGTAATGAGGCAGAGGTTGATGAGGTCCATGATTCTGAGTATTTTGATCTTAGTGTATTTGGTTAGGTCGGGTGTGTTGTGTAGTACTATAGCACTTCCACGCATACAACCAAAAGTATGGATCTGGTACGTAGATGACCCCTTTGTTATAATAAAAAAGGAATAACTAGAGAAGACACATGAAACCATCAACCACATCTTCAAAGGAATAAAATTCCCCAGAGAGGAAGAAAACAGCAACACGCTCCCCTTCCTGGATATCCTCATCAGCAGAGGAAAGAACAGCAAATCAGAAACCCAAGTCTATCAGAAGACAACCCACACTAACCAAGTGCTCCTCTACCAAAGTAGTAACCCAACCTCCCACAAGAGGAGCTGTGAAAGCAGCTCACAGAACAACTGAAAAAGGAAACAGACCATCTGTACAACGTCTTCCAACAAAATGGATATCCATGCAACTTTATCAAAAAGTGCCTGAGCAT